AAAAAAAAAATTTTTTTTAAATAAAAAAAAAAAATAATAATAAAGATAGTCAGTACAAAAATAATGAAAAGAAAAAAAAAGTACTGTTATTTGAGCAAACGTTTTAGAATATAGTATGACGTAAAATATTGCTATATACTCCTGACATCTCAATTAATAATCGACATCCAAGTGTACGTGTAAAAAATCGCCCGCCACAATCGCGAATAAATCCAATTGTACGAACAAACGCTTAAAACGGAGAACAATAAGGGAAGATGGATAAAGAGGGGGATGGGGTTGGGGAGGGGGAAGTTGGACGCGAACAAAGCGATTCCCACAACTCGGACTTTGAATCCCCGAGCCGGTGCGTTCGGCGTGTACCTGCTGATTGACACATCCCTCCATTGTCCTCCCGGTCCTCCACCCTTCCCCCACACGCCCCGTGTATATACACACACAGCGACGCACCAAGCTTGTTTCTGACCCAATAAATCACGGCGTGGAGCGTGTACACGCGCTCCGGACGCCCACCCCCGTGCACATCATACACTACACCCCTGACCCTCTTATCCCCCCCCTTTCTCCCTCGCCCTTGTTTCCCCCTTTCCATAATAACGTGTCGATAACACCTGCTTGTCATGCCCCCACGGAAGGAAAAAGCAGTGCTGCGGGTCTCTTTATGTATACATACATATGCGTGGGTTGAAGCATTGATTTTCAATACATGTCCGTGCACAGAATGGAGAGATACACGGGTTCTGCCGGTGAATTGGAGTATAAGATGGGCACGGGAGGTGGAAGGGCAGCGTTTGCGTGCGAGAACAATGCCTGGGCACGGCACATCCGAGGGTCGAGTGTCGTTGACGGTGCGATTGTACTCCAACTTTGGCTGTTTCGATTCGCGTGCATCTGCTTTGTGCAGTGCTCGTTTGGTGGTGGGGGGTTTCGTGAGCACTCGAGGGGTGAGGTTGGAAAAATTAAAAATGAAACAAACAAAAATTTGCCGGAATGTCCATTACGCTGAAGGAGGTTTTTGATTTTCAAGTGCCACCGAAGCCATCGAGTGTACATGTTATAGTTTGTCTTTGAAATTAAAGTACCTCCTCGTTTTTTATTCATCAGACTCTGTTGAGCTCAATTTTCGGACTACAAAGAGTACAATGGAAGCATGAATTTTTTCAACTCACAAGGATCTTAATTTATTTATTTTTTTTTTTTTTTTTGGAATGGAACAGTAAAAATAATCCTCTCTGAGGACCTTTCATTTAGACTTTGTTGGAGCGACTGCGCGTTTGTATACTTGAGTTGAAAAAAGAACACGTAAATCCTCGACCCTCGTTTGTGCTGCAGAGCTGAAATTTCGTTTCCTCGGGTAGCAAGAAAAAGAAAATTTTTTTCTCTTCATTTCTAAAGGTATTCTCGGCTTTAAACTTGTACTCGTCAAAAAAAAAAAGATCGGCATGCGCCGACGAGTAAAAAGCGCAGCCCGAGTCCATCGCTATGTACGCGCTCCATTCGCATGAATGCACTGGGAGAAATGTAATTTTGGGGAAACCCCAGCCACCTCATGTATATATGCTGTGAAGTTTATAGTTTTGAGTTGTACATTCTTCGAGGAATTTACTTTTGTTGACGATGTACGCAAGGAAATTCGGACGAATCTCTTGGAAAATAGTTGGGAGTGGAAAATAGTGGCAATGTGAGTAACTGCATCTAATATGATTAATGTTGAAAGTGTTTTGAGGGTTTTGGTTGAATTTAATATTAAAAGGAGTAATCAAAAACATTGCACTCATTGTTAACTAGAGTATATCTACGGAAAAAAGGAACATTTTTGACATACTTAATATTTTTTTTCAGTACTATAATTTTAAATTCTTTAGTAGGATTACAGTTCTTACTTATATGCAACTGTAACACATTTTTTTTGTATGATCCTGAAGCACATTCGTATTTTTATATTTATTTAACAAATTCATAAGTAGCCAACAGTTTTTTTAAAACAAAAAAAATCATTGTCAAAGTAAAACTTTTTATGTTCAGAATATTTGAGTAAGTAGAACATCCCTGCGTATGGTCAGACGTAACATCGTCAGCCAAGTAAAAGAACGTCTGATCTGAAAGTATCATGATAACATTATTACATCATAAAATAATGAATAAAAAAGCTATGTTTATATAAAAATAACAGTAGAGTAAAGTTATTATTTTTGGATGAGATATTTTTAATTTCACAGACGATTTAAAAAAAAATTAAAAACTACTTGACGTTAGAATAGTCGTAAAACTAATTTGGGAGGGTAATTCATTATCATCAACTAACAATTAATCAGATAATAGATTTACCATATTTTACACACTTTGTTTTCCGTTACTACCCTAAGAGTTACTTAATAGAGGATTTTATTTTACTCATAATACATGTCATTACATCGTATTTATTTTATAAGGGTAAAACAAAAGAACACTGTATATTAGAAGAATGATGGCATATCTGTTCAATAATTGTCAAAGTAAAACTTTTTATGTTCAGAATATTTTAGTAAGTAGCACATCCCTGCATATGGTCAGACGTAACGTCGTCAGCCAAGTGAAAGATCGTCTGATCTCAAAGTAGCATTATTAAATTATTACATCATAAAATAATGAACAAAAAAGCTGTGCTTATATAAAAATAATGTTAGAGTAAAGTTATTATTTTTTGGTGAGACATTTTTAACTTCACCGACGATGTGAAGAAAAATTAAAAACTACTTGACGTGAGGCTAATCGTAAAACAAATTTGGGACGGTAATTCATTATCATTAACTAACAATTAATCAGATGATAGATTTACCATATTTTACACACTTTTATTTTTTTTATACTACTCTAAGAGTTAGTAAATAGATGATTTTATTTTACTCATAATACATTACATCTTATTTATCTTTTAAGAGTAAAACAAAAGGAAACTTTTTATTTAAAGAATGATGGCATATCTTTTTTATGAATCACTGGTATGTACTATTTATGTAGTATTTAGAGTTTCTGATTATTCTGATTTTGACTACAAACTTGTATGATTTAAACCCTCCTTATTTTTGACACATTACTCAAGAAATACAGGAACTAAAATTTCATGTATCAAAAATATTGTGCATGTTGAGTTTACAGTTTTTTTTAAATTAGAAATTGTATTTTTTGCGCTGAAAAATCTCGCTTTTCAACAGCCATCTGACAAATGACGTTTCATTACGTCATTCCATGCCAAGGGACGGTGTTAAGGCCTCACACGTTTATTAATTTTATGTGCATTTAAAATTCTAAAGTACAACAGAATTTCCAAGTAAAAATAACGAAAATTTATGTGTAGTCTAAGTAGTTTTATTTGTAGATCCCGTGATGCGAAGCCATTAACTAAAACGAGATTTTCATGAAGTACTTCCTGCACGCAAACGAGGCTTTCGACGATACAGGTGACAGGCTAAAAAAACCAACAAGTCTATACGTGTCTTTTTCTTGGAGGAGATAAAGAGGTCATATTTACGATGGTTGTGCTAACAACTCGATTTTTTTTTTCCTTTTTTCTATTTCGGGAGGTATTACGTCATCTCGAGACGTGTGCAAACACGGGTATGCGTGTTTCCTTTCAGTGGGCGGATTTAGGTCAATACAGTTTGTTCCTCCGTACTTCATGTTTTCCCTCGAGTTTACGTTGGCTTCCGTTCATCATTTCGATGCGTCCATGTTTTTTCTGTGTAGCTTTCCGTCGCAACAATAATTATTTCGTTCAATATTATGAATATGCGAAAAAAACTCGTATTTTAATTTATTCAATAAATTATTTGAAAAAAATTACACAGGCTTTTACAGGACTGTCGAGGCAAAATACATGTTTACCATAGTTTTCGCTAGTAAATTGAGAATTTTTTGAAGTAGAATACTGTATTTCAAAAAGTCTAGCTTTTGAAGCTTGTCCACGTACTGATTGTGTTTTGACACACGACTTTGAAATTAAAAAAAAAAAACTTTTTATTGTCCAACACCGTAAAAAATGAAAGGGCTGACACAATTTATAAAAAACAAATTAAATTTTGTTCAACAACAAGTTTCAAAGCAAAATCGTAATGTATTAAAATCAGTAAAACCCCTTGAAAAAATTACAGTCACGATAGTCTTTGGAAAAATAAGTAACTCACACAAAAGCAACAGTATTTATAGACAGGAGACAGCACGAAGCCAAAACAAAAGAGACAGAGCACGAGTGGGGTGTGAAGAAAAAAAAAAAAAAAAAAAGGTTTAAAAGATTGAAGAGAAGCG